GCCATTGGATTTCTTGCACCAGCACTGGCAGCCCTGGTGCCCCCAGTGCCTGCTTCTCGGCCAAGTAGATGGCGCGCTGCTCCAGCTTCGAGACGCGCTCTGCCTCCACCTGGCAAGGGTGGTGCACTTTCGTCAAAGCCACTTCTTAGTATCAGGGCAACTATGAGACTACACGGACTACTCTGATCACTTGAACCATGCCAGGAGCCCGCGCCTCGACGAGATCCCGGCATGGAGACGCGGAGCCCGCCGAGGTCATCACCCAAGGCTCCAAGGAGCAGATGTCGGAAGCGCGTGGGGCTCTCCCAAAGCCCTGGAAAACCCCGTAATCTTGCCCTGGATCTGAACCCTAAACCCTTAAATGATGGACGACCGCAGGGCCTTTATCACCATGCGGAATCCTACACCTCGCTTCGTCGAGGTATTTCAGGCTTGTCTGGCTTTCAAGGGCTCCGAGCTTAGTGAGGGCCCTCCTCGGTTTCTCGATCTGTCTGAGCCGGCCGGGCGGACATGGAAGTTTCGGGAAATGCTGCACATCACAACATTACACCGTAAGATCCGAGACGCATCTTTGCGCAAACCCCAACCCCGCCAGGCCTCACAGACCCAAGACTGCTTGCGAACGCGCTCCACAATCGCCTATGGTGCGCTCAAACCCTTGAACCCTCAAAACCCTAAACTCCTTCAACTTCCGAGAAACCTGAAGGAGCTTGGGGGCCGTGCCAACTTGCCGCGAACAACGTCCATCGGGGTCACCACTTCTGCGCACTGCGCCTGAAGGGGTTTCACATGCACCTCACTTGCCTTCATTTAGGTCATGAAAGGGGACTTCTGGGCGTGGTTTGGGCTTGGGGGGCTAAGAGTCCACCCCAGAACAAGCGCTGAACGCAGGGCCTGTGGAAGCGGCGGTGCTGTCGCCACAAAGTACCAAACTCCTCGGCTTTGATGGTCTTGGTGCAGGCTTCGGTTTGTGGAATACATAGTTGAGCCCTACACACACCCTTCAGTTGTTCACACAAACGTCTCAGAATGCTTCCAGCAATGGCCGCCGCCATAAAGAGGAGGTACAACACCAGACTCTGCCTGGAGGGTGCAATGTGCAGGGGTTTCCGGTTCATTATATGGTAATTATATGGTAATTATATGGTTATCATATTATATGTTCGATGATATGGTTCATTATATGGTTTGTTGTATGGCTACTATCTGGTTTACTATATGGAGGGTTTCCGACATCAGGGATACCTGATTGGGGTCTGTTTGGGGGTCTATGTTAAGGATCCCCGTAAACCCCATGTGAAGGTTGGGAGGTTGTAGGGCTCAGGTTTAAGGTTAGACCACCCTCCGTCACAAATTGTATGCATCTGCAAGACAGCCACTTTGTGCAAAACACGATCAGCCGTGGAACATCAGAGGATTCCACATTCTCATGCCTGGATTCCCGAAACACGCACCGTCCACACGTTACGTAGGCCCTGGTTCCTGTTGCCACTCACGGGACCTGGGTCTGGGTGGGATTGGTGGGTTTGATATTATTGGGGGCAAGGGAACTTTATAGCTTTTTGTTTTGAGGGTGAGAAGCCTCTTAAGAATCCGATGTTCATCGAACTTCTCAACAGAATGCACAAGTTCTCAAAGCACACACACCGCTGCTAGCCCAACACCCTAACCCCTGAGCCCGATTTCATGGCTCAGCCCCCACCCGAGCGAGAGGCCCATGGCTGGCGTGGAGCAGAAGCTTCGAAGGGCGTTTGAGTTTGAGGGCCACCCTGGGTCTGAGTTGGATGCATTGTCTGGGGTTGAAGATTTCGGTCTGGGGCTTAGGGTTTTGCGGGCTCGGGAGAAGGATCTCAGAGTCTGCAATTTTGCGGGGTTGCTGACAGCTCGGGGTAACAATCCTTCGATCGGCGCCGCGGTCATAGGCTTTGACTTTTGGCAACTGCGAGTTTCGGTTGCTGCCATGCTCGCGTGATTTGCGATGTTACAGCTCTGGCACTGGTCAGAACAGACCTCGAGCCAAAGTGATTTGTTCCTTGAACCGCAGTCATGTGTCTTCACATACTGTCAAGACATGCCACGTGCCAACCCCTGTTTGCAGCAGATCTCCACCGATTTGCCTCTTGAATCTGCACACGCTGTCCTCTTTTTCTCAAAGAGAGGGCACGAAACATCTGCAAGAGTTCCTCGAGAGAAGCTGTGCGTGAACGAGACTTGAGCCTCTTCACACTACGACTTCTTCAAGGCCTCTTTTGCTTCGTACTTCTTGGTGATACAAAAGGCGTAAATGCCAAGCTTTGTCTTAATCTGGTGGACGGTGGACAGGAGCCACCACAGCACATAAACTCCAAGAACCTGAGGCACATCGTACCACATGTGCGTGTCCCACTTTTTGGCTACCGAAATCAGCAGCCTGGAGGGCGTTCAGAGGGGTGCTTGGACCTACTTCTGGGGGCTCCCATTCTAGTACGGAGCCTTACATGCAGACTGCCCAGCAAAAGGAGAGCCGTGACCAAAAACCGGCTCTAGGCCCCCCCACTGTGGTGAAGCCGCAGAGGATGGGCCGGGAAAACTCCAGCGGCAAAGCCCAAGAGGCAGCCACGGCGCCGGACTCGGAGAATGAGAGGGGTTTGGGGGATGAAGATTCCAGGCGAACCCTTCCTCAAAGCAATCAAGGAATCAATATCCGCCCACTGCGAGAGGGGGACCGCCCGATTGTTTTCCCACCCCTTTGCCCAAAGTCTGGCTTGTGAACAACACAATGCATTCCCAGCTGTTAGGGATGCCGATACTCTGCGGCACAACGCTTCCTGAAAACCCCGACCATCACAGCATTCTCATCACTTTCTTCCCGCGGGTGGGTTCGGGACCGAGGCCCCTCGCATATTAACCCTCTGGAGGGGATCTCTCTCTTTCCCTCTCTTTCCCTGTGCACCTGACATACGAGCTACAGTACCCTTTGGCCGTAAGTTCCGCACATATGGCAGAAGGATCCACTGGAGCCAAGGAAACTTGGTCCTGGATGGGACTCGTCCGTTCAAAAGCCCACCCCCCAGAGTCTTGAGGACGCAGTGTTGAAGCGATGCTGCTGGACCAGCTACACGACCTCAAGTCTTACCCAGACCCTCCGACCAGTCCTGGCCATGCTGAAGACAATCATCTGCCTGAATCAATCCCACATCGAGTGGATGAAAAAAAGAGTCAACTACAGCACGCTCTTCTGCTGCCACCACGATTATTAAGCTTATGCAAAGCCGACATGTGAAGCTGAGGCACGCATTCATCGAAAAGAGCGACCTCGGAGCATGTGCTGATGTTGAAAGGGAGCAAGGGCCGAGGAGCACAGGGGGGCTTGATGGCTTGAGGCTTGAGGCTTGAGGGGCAAGAAGGCACACTGCTCCTGGTCCAAATCTCTAAGACGCCCGAGCAATTCAGAATTCCCCAACCCCCCCCCCCCCCCCCCCCGCGCCCCAAAGCCACCTGCAGGACTCTCGCTCTGAACCTGACAGCAACCCAGATGATGCCAAGGCCATCAAGCGGCAGGCCCGTGAAGAGGCTGATCATTCTCCCTGCGGCTGCCACCAAACCAGGCTGCCACAGGCTGAAGAGCACGTTCAACAAGGCCACTGGAATCAGGTCCTGTGCTGCTTCTCAGTGAGCAGGCCAAGGTGGACACAGGGTAGGAGCACAACTGCTGCATCAGCATGGGCGCATGTGCCCAATAGTGGATGATCTACCTGCTCTCTCGCCCCTGCGATCCAGTAATTGCGGGAACTTGGCTGAGCCTGTCAAGAGATACCACGAGCCAAACAAACCCCAATGCCAACACTAAACATACTAAACCCTAAACCCTGAAGCCCCAACCCGCCAATCGAAACCCCAACCCACTGCGCGAGGCGCAGCCTGCAGCACCGTCAGGCCCGCCACACCCTTCTCTCTGCAGGCAGTGCTGACCACGCTGACCTCGGCTGAACCCTTAACTGCCCCCTCAAGACCTTAAAGCCCAAGTTCCCAAACCATCCCAAAGCACCTCTAAGACTCAAAGCCTTATCCCTGAAGTCGGGAGCTCTGCGTTGCTTCCTTTGCCTCGCTTGCTTGCAGTTTGTGGTTTGGGGTTAAACGAGTTAAACGGGTTAAATGGGTTCGGGACTGCCTTTTTCTTTGAAATACAGACTCCGGGGGCAAGAGTCTTGGCAGCCATTTTCACATGTTATGTGCACAGCCAGGTGCAGACATTGTATATAAGTTGACATTTGAACATCATGCAACTACTGCAACTGCTGTATTTAAATGCGCTAAACAGGAAGGACATCCCTTTTCAAAGCTCCATTTTGAACAACAACCCGCTGAGCCCAGCGGCCAGACAGAACAAGGCCATCCAGAGAGCTTGGAGCAGCCAGGCCTGAGCGAGAGAAGGCCGCAAAAACTCACTGGGGGGCTCAGGGAAAATTTTGAAAACCTTCCGAAGCCCACGCCGCGGAGGACAGAAGGGAAGAACATGCATAAGGGCAGGGCAGGGCGGGAAGGGGGAGTCTGTCAGTGTGATGGCCCTCACGTTTGCGAAACATGTACGTTTCATACATTGATTCATGACGTGTGTGCGACATGGGGGTTTACAAACATAGGGGGACTCCCAATATAGATCCTCAAATAGTAGGACCTAGGATCCACTTATAATAAGGACCCCAAAAAGGTGCCCCTAACTTCGGAAACCCCCCTGATATTCGGAGTATATCTTCATTCTGGTCTGAGTATATCGGGAGCAGGAGCTTGAAAGTGACGCCTTCGCACGACGCGGCAGTTCCCCTGGGGCCATGTCCCCTCCAAAGGGTGACTCTAAGGAGGCAAATGAAGACAATTGAAGGCGGCAAGGAACAAGTCATTGGTTGACTCACAGAACGACGACGCAACGAGAGACACCCACAACAAAGCAGTTGCCAGAGCACCAAAGTTTGCCATGACAGGCAACATACACACACCTGCTACGACAGAAGCTGCGTCGCTCAAAAATACAGCGAACAGGGACTTACATGCAGCTGCACTGTGGCCTTCATGATCAGGAGCCGAATTGTCTCGGATGCCCAGGGAAGCTCCACGGTGGCTGTCATCCAGGACTGCCACACCTGCGACAACTCCCATCTCCGAAACATGAGGTTGCCATGTAGCACAACTGGCGTGCGCAAAGCTTCTGGCAGAAAAGCAGCCATAAGGCCACAATCCGAGCATGGTTGTCGAACGTTGTTGATCCTTTGTTGATCGCTGTCAAGTGCAGCACAGTTCCGGCCTCTGGGCCGACAATGGCTGTCAGAAGTATCGGCGACATCAGCGCGTACTGCAGCTCGGTGACGCCGATCTGCAAAGTGGCATGTTAAGTCGCATAGGGGGATTGGCGATGTGCTCTCATACCCAGCCACTCAGCCCCAGGCAGGGCCAATGCTGGTAGGGAAGAAGCCCGTGTGCCGGTCCTGGAAGCGGCGCCAAGTTTTTCCAACGCTCCAGCCCCACCTGGCACCCCAGAGGAATTATTTCGACGCAGCACACCCGGATTTTTGCATGTCTGTGCAAGTCCTGCCACGCTGCCAGGAAGATGGGGGTCCTCGGCTAGCGGAGGCCGAGGTCTGGGAAAGTGTGGTTCACGACTCTGTCGGTGAAAGCTGACCCGTACTTAAAGAACATGGCTGGCCTTCCCTGCTTGCAGATGCATATGGACGCATGAACTTGCCTTCCATGTTCCCAAGGCCCTGGCTGGATAGACCGCATGCACTGGAGAACCCAGTACATGTCTCCGGGCATCAGGATCATCGACAAGGCCGCGTGCTGGGAGAAGCAGAGAGGGTCGGTTTCTAGGAAACTTGATGCTGAGGACTTGCGAGGACCCCCCCAAAATTCCTTTTAGGCCCAGGCTCCCTTGACCCTAAACCCTATGAACCCTTTGAGGACCTTTTTGGGAAGCCGTTTGAGAACCTTTTATGGAAGCCCCCTCTAGTGTCCCTGAACTTCCTCAAAGGCCGACCCCCTAAACCCCTACAGTAAACCTCACCTGAGAAGGAGCCCCTAAACCCTAAACCCTAAACCCCTAAACCCTAAACCCTCAAGACAAAATAAATAGAAATTGTACGTGGTGCCATTCTGAATTTCCAAGTTATTTGTCTAAACAGCTGACAAGCCGAGTTTAAGTCTGAGGCCAAATGTTCAATTTACTCAAACCTCGCCCTGTGGTATTATTCTGACTTTCCAAGTTATTTGTCTAAAAAGCTGACAAGCCGAGTTTAAGTCTGAGGCCAAATGCTTAATTTACTCAAACCTCGCCCTACCCTCCTCCCCGCCGTGGCCCCCCTCCTGCCCTCCCCCCCCCCTCCCCCCCTCCCCCTTCCCTCCCCCCCTCGACCCCCTCCTCCCTCCCCTCCTCCTCCTCCCCCCCCTCTCCTCCTCCCCACCTCTCCCCCCCCTCCTGCTTGCTGCTGGGAGAGGCAGGGAGGGGGTGGGGGGGAAGGGGGAAGGGGGAGGGGGGGATTTGAAAATGGAAACTTTCGGTCGAAACTTTCGGTCGAAACGTTTTTGGGACCCAAACCTTATACAATTTCTATAAACCCTAAACCCCAAACCCTAAACCCCTAAACCCGATCCCTCTGGGGCCTGGGACATGCCGGTGAGGCAGTCGCAGCCGTGGTCCACCAGGTGGCCCAAAGGGGTGGAGGAGCCAGTCCTCCGGGCCTCTGAATTTGGGTTGGGTGTTCAAGGTGTTAGGGGTAGTAGGGTATTGTAGGGCGCTATGTTAGGAGCACTAGGGGTAGTAGGGTATTGTAGGGCATTATCGGGTATTGGGGTGCGGCATTTGTGGTACTATGGTAGTATGAAAAGTGTCCAAATTCGGAATGAATCCGAATTTGGAGCAAAAGGTGTCAAGATTCGGCATGAGTTCGCCTTTGGAACAAACAGTGTCCACATTCGAAACTCATGCCGGAGCAAAAAAAGTGTTCAAACTCGAGAAGATTCTAAAATTGGAGCAAGAAGAGCTCAGCGCACGGAGTTGAGCACATTTTGCCCTCTGGCTGGCAACCTCTTGTTGTACTGCCCAGGGTGCCCCCCAATGCGCCCCTCAGGATTCTACAAAATAAATATTTTAACGCCGGCCTGCTTTCCATCCACAGCATCCATGGTCTGGTAGAAATAGAGGGCTGTCGCGTAGCTCAGGGCCAGCCATCGAGGCCTCAGTCTTTCGAGAGTCCAGGAAACCACGAACCACACGAAACCTCGGTCCCCGGCGGCGCCACGTCACAGAAGGGGCAGGCATGCCAGGACAGCGTGTAGACCAGGACCAAGGGCGCAAAGCCGATGAAGGTAATCTGCCAGGTCGGGTGCGCAGCCAAGGTGTGAGGGAAGCAAGTCCAACAAGTTGGATCCACGAAGAGCATGGGGCATCTCTAGACTTCGCACCCAGAATACCCAAAGCCCTGCAGCACAACAACACCCCTGCATAGTACAAAAGCAGCACACGCACGGAGGACATGCACGCTCGAGGCTTGAACGGTCTTATTGCTGTATATCAGTGTCCCTGATGCCCTTGTGGCATCAGTGTCTAACTGAGCACATGGCCGCATTTGGAGCCAGCCAGCGGGGCAGGGCCTGCACACTGTGAGAACCCCTATGAACCCCTATGAACCTGTATGAACCCCTATGAACTCTGAACCGAGTCGATGGAAAGGTGCCCAAGCCCTGCTTTCAAAACGAGTTGGGGGCAACTGCCTTCGACTCCGTGCAACATGAGATGGCTCGGGGAAAGGGCAAAGGTTGAAACCCTCCTGCCAGGCTTCGCAGCAGCTCTCCCTTCTGAAGCCAACCCAGAAAGTTTGAAGCACATGCTACACGCAACAATTCAAGGCCGATGGCCTCCGCAATTCTCTGCCAGAAAGGGCTCAAGGCGTTGTCCAAGGGTGTGTAAACACCGGGGCGATACCTCGGTGCACAGACTTGCGCATCCAGCCAAGCACGTGCACGCCGAGACAGACCCTCACAAACCTCAAACACCCAAACAACTCGGAACGCGAGCCCTGAACCCGTCAATACGAGCCCGGAACCCCTTAGCTTCACTTTGGGCGGCTTGTGTGCTGCGATGTGGTTCAGGTCTTCCTCCGTCAGAACTGGCAGCACCCATGCCATGGCTTGGGTATGGCTCGCAGTGCTTGGAGTTCAGGGTTTGACGTAATGAGGGGTTCTCTCGAGAATCTGACTCGCTCTCAGGTTTCTGCTCATGCTCTCAGGGGGACTGTGGGAAAGAGGGTACGGTAAGTATGCATTCTTGTGTCTAGCTGCCTTCGGCTCATTAGAGATGAACGCTAAGATGAGGCTTCGTTCTGGACTCCATCCACTCGTCAGCCCAGGAATCCAGGGCTGCTCTCTTTCCTTTTCTCTGAATGTGGTAGGAAATTGCATGTGCTGGACGACTCCGGCGTCAGCTGCATGCCGCAAGCTGCAAGCGTGCATTAGGACTTTTATAAGCTCTTCGCAGGCTGCGAGGCGCGGAGAGAGAGAGCGTTCCGCTCTCAGAGGCCTTCCGGCACTCTTAGGTCGACGAAGCCTTAAGCCACAGGCCGCAGCCACAGGAGGGAGGCCAAACGCTTTTCGCGCAGCGCTCGAGAGCGCTCCAGAGCAGCAGCGGCGCCATGAGATTCAAGATGGCTGGGGGCCCAATTGGGGCCACATCTGTGAAAGGGCCTTGCTCGGGTTGGACTTCACCAAGGTGGGCATTCACGCGACGGACTTTGGCTTCCCAAGTTTCTTCGCGGTGCGGTAGAGAATGGCATCGATGAGGCTCGCCACCTGACATTCTGCCAGCCGGCCGGGGCAAGCTACCCCAATCTGATCTGCCCCATGCGTCTCAGTCCGGAACAGTGAAGACACCCCCGATGATCGCACAGACGGAGATTAAGAAGTGGGTGACTGGCACATCCTGATGAAGACAGAAACGTTGAGGTGTGCATCGCTAGCTGACAGCTAGAAAACTTAGCTTCGATAACGAGGGCGTAAAGGATTCCCAGACTCCCAGACGTGCCTTCTCCGTCTTCTGCACCATGAAGGGGGTGAACCTCAGCAATCTTGTTGTCCTTCACCACTATGTGCCACTACTTTGAAACATCTTCAATTAGAGCGCCAAGACTGTCTGAAGCATTTGAGTTCTCAAACCACTTTCAGATTGAGACGCCCAAAGCTTGTGAATTAAGTGCCTTGAAACAAACATCCGCTGGTCTGGGGCCCAGGCTCATACACCAAGAAGACCCCCGGCAGGCCAGCAAGCTCCCCCTGCCTCCAGGTTTGGCGGGGCTCAAGTCAGAACTTGAAACCCTTTATGCTTTTAGGCACTCCGGACCCTTTCGCTTGCGGGGAGGCTCATGGGATTTTGCGGAGTGAAGTCGGCTCTGCGTGAGGCACAGTTCCCCGCGCAGGCTCCGTGGATCACCAGGGACACGACGCCAGGGATGCAAGGAGGGAAGGAAAGTGTCGGGTGATGGCCGTTCTTTGAGTCTGGGAGGAAACTACAGCCTGGGCACCTGGGGTTGTTACAAATCCGGCTTCGGAGATACACGCTTGCAAGAAGAATTGCTCATGAACCTATGTTTGGGACAATGTCGATGACGGACCCCCTGCTGCTTCGCTAAGGCACAGTCCATCGTGAAAAATCCGCCCACCCACTACACGACTTTTTTCTTGGCTAAGATATCAGCTCGACCTTGATACTGAACTGCAACAAACGGGCCCGAGTGCTCTAGCTGCTTGCGGCAGAGGACATGCCCGCAACACTACGCAATTCCAAAGGTTCGCCTGACCAGAACATCTTTCTCGCTCCCAGTCACCTTTGTCAACGTAGCTGCACGGATGCAGGACTGATGCGAGACTGATGCATGGCGTCCCTCCTCCCTGAGACTGCTGCGGAGTACTGGTGTGTGTAGAGCGGCCTGGTCTGGCGCACCACCGTTTTTTGTGTATAAAGGTGGACGTCATCAACCAAGGCCCGCTCTTGCCATCCCCCGTCTCAAAAAGAGTCGGAACCTGGTGCCGGAACACGTTCTTGGAGAAACGGCAACTGCAGCTTCAAGACGGCCCTCAAGCAAGCCAGCATGGCCAGCTTGATGTAGTAGTGGAACATGTACGCGCCCTTCAGGACGATTTTCGCCGTGCCCTGTCCAAAATCAGACTAAACTAAGTTCGACAGCGTGACGACAGCCCTCTCAAGACATTTGCACCTCGAGGGGAGACTCGACACCAGGCACTCGCTGCCCGAACCTAAAGTCACAACTCCCACTCACGACAGGTGTCAGTGTCATGCACATCGCTTTGTGACTGAACTCGCATGAAAGGCCGCACTGAGCCGGCCACTCGAGTCTATGGATGATGTGGGAGGTGTTGAAGCCGTCACTGACGTCTTTCAGATTGAACTCGTGCACGTGCTTGCCATCTCGAACCTGAGAAGCTTCGGCCCTAACAACACTGCCGCTGTTGCGCTTTTTCGGGACAAGCCGTAACTTGCACCCATGGAGACCAATGCTGCAGCAGATCAACCACAATCCAGAGCTCCGCGCTGTTGATTTGCCAAGAGCGACGTGCACGTTGCCTCCAACCTGCTTCAGCTGGCGTCAAAAAAGTGAAGGTCATGCTGGACAAGCTGGCAGCACAGCGAGCATCTTGCAAGATGAACACCGCACCATCAAGGGTTGTTCAAGGGTTGAAGGCTACATAAACCCTGGCTGCGCACAATGCACCTTGGACACCGAGACATCTCCGTGGACCTGGCAGCCCACGCTGTTCCGGCACTGCATCGCCTGCAAGTAGGAAGGTGGCATGTGCATGTGGGAGAGCCCTGGGAAATAAGCACTCTTCTCAACTCAGTGTCCTTCAAGACACGAAATACACACAAGGAATCGTCTAGCCTGATCCTTTCAAAAAAAGCATCCAACTCCCTGAGCCCTTCTTCCCTTCTGGCCGTATCCAGGATGTGAAAGTACGGGATGCCCATGTCCTGGTAGGCTTCCTGCGAGATGAACCCTGCTTTCTTACATCCACTCCGGGACACAAACTGGGCACAGTATGGGATGCCTGTTAACAAAACCAAAGGGGAAGGAGCAGTTTAAGCTCTCTGCAGTACGCCTGTTCGTTTCTCTATGTTCAGTCCAAATTCTGTACACAGGGACAGAAATTCGGTCTGCCCGTCTGGAAACAAAGCTCACAGATTGTTTCCACTCTACAACTGTTCCAACAAGAGCCAAGACATTTCTATCCCACGATGCATCAGGCAGCTGATACGCATACTGCATCTGTCACAGCCAAACAATACAGCCTTCAGCTGCTGGCATGTGTTGCAGCACCTGAGCTCACTCACACGAAAGAAAGATGCTACATCATAACTAACCATGATGTTACTACAGGCGTTAAGCGGGATCGCGGACAGCTGCCGCAGGCTGACTTTCTCATAAAAAAGGACTTGGGAAGGTTTAGAGTTTAGAATGGGACGGACCCTCACAATCTTAACATACACGAATCTCGACCCACAAGCCTAGTCTTTACAAACCAACGCCTCAGGTTCAGACACTTGTTGCTTTTCTGTGGGGGCGGGCGTCGCTTCCAGACAGGAGAAGCACCTGGCGAAGGGGGCTTCAAACTTAACCCTAAACCCTAAACCCTAAACCCTTAAATCTGCTTATGTGCTTCAGAATGTTTCAGAGTGCTTTTTGATCCTTTCGTGCACCGTTGACAGCTCCCAAGCTCGAGAAGCTGCTCAAACAGCCAGGCCGGCTCGCCCTCTGCTGCTACGGGGTCTCCCTTGCTCGGGTTCCCGCTCAAGTCCAGATTCCTGGGCGCGTGGGCCATTACACAGGTTGAAGCCCCATTATGAGCATGCAGGCATCCGCAGACGCATAAAGTTCAGCAGAAAATGGAGGAAATGTTCGCAGCAACAAACTGTTCGGTGGTGTTAGCTCGCAATGCATGCTTGTCGCAAGCCACAAGAACCAGTGCGATAACTTATAACAGACCCTCCGAAGAACAATGCCTTGCACAAAATACAACCACAGCCACCACCATCAACACCATTCGACCACCACCACCACCACTACGACTTCCACGACAACCACTCATGACTAAATACGACGAAGACCACTACGTCAGCAGAAGTGGGGGCGACTAACGCACAAGAAGTGGTACCGGCATGTCGCAACATTGTCTGCAGCAACACTGGCGGAACCTGCGCGTTCCCATTCCGACTTCGTGTAATAAGAGGCTGCTTGCCCCAAACACCATTGGCAACCGAGGCTCAGCTTGGTCAGGGTTCCAGCAATGTCCACCTACAAAAGAACAAGGGGCTTGCCCTCCAGAATCTCAAGCACGCATCGCTAGCATTACAAACCTGCTTCATACAGTTGCAGAGCCCGGGAGTTTGCATGGTGAAGTCGGCTGTTTACTGTCTGCACAGACGGAAGCTCTCCAACAAGTCACATGCCTGCCAGAACGATTGTTCCGGTGCCTGATTTTCACCAGTGGAGTCCACGGTGTCCACGGACACCTCATCGCAGGTTGTGGCTTCCACAAGCTACCAAAGCACAACCTTGAGTGCGCGACCTCATCGCACCGGATGTGGGGAAATGTGATGTTCAACCCTATCCTCGGTCGAAAAATCCTGTGCCATGACACTTGCACCAACAGCCCATGCATTGCTTACGTCATCAGCAGCAACATGATTGGATGCAACGATGAGCTCCAAGCTGTAGCTTCTGGTTCAGTGTTGTATCGACAACAATGTGGTCCTCACAAGTTGGTCAATCAGGCAATGACATAACGAACCCCCGATGCCTGCACTTCAATACCCCGAGCACCAAGCAACAATCTCTGCTTGAAGGTAGCTGCTCAGCTCGGAGAAGAAAAGCAAAGCCTCAAAGCAAAAAGCCCAGGATTCTGCCAACCTTCACTCGAATTTAAACAGGCATGCACACTGATGCCGAAAAGCAAAATCACAGGTTCACTGAGTAACCTGCCATGATGATCATTGATACCAGTGATATGAGCCCACCACTCTGCGTCTTGATTCTGTAGTCGTCATGCACCTTCAATGGGTTTTGCAAACTCCTGCAAGTCGGCCGCAATCCAGCTGCCTTTCAACCGTCAAGAACAGCTCAACCTCTGCACTGTGGCCTTCCCATACAAATCAAAACGCTTCACAGCGGACCGGCGTTGACCGGATGAAGTTTGCTGCATTGCTTGGCAGCGTCTGGCTCACACAAGTGAATAGTTGTAGCATTATCGTCTTTTCACGTTCTCCTGAGCAAGACCTCTTATAGCAGAACTATACAAACGACTCAAACGAACCCCATTTCTCAACACCTTCAGTACATCTATTATAATCTATTTGCCTTCGGCCGCGGGAGAATGCTCATTACGCTGCGTCGACAGCCTGAAAAGTAAAAACTTTATGAATGGTGAAGGCAGATGTGGGGCGGATGACATTGGACGTTGTTGCTTCACAAATGGCAGCGTTGCGGACATGACTATGATACTACATTCTCTCATGACATGTTGTACATGTTCACATGCTTGCAGACAGGAAAAGATTAATCCCTGCAGTCTGGCAGCAATGGTCATTTCCAAACCATTACGTTCGGTTCGGGCTTTTTGAGGCCCGACCCCGGCAAGAAAGAATCCTAAAGCAAAACCGCGCAAAGGGTATCTCGTTGCAGAAACATCAATCATACTCTTGCAATGTATATTTGTCAAAAACAAACACGCTGAACATTGGGCATGCTAGCAAAAGGCTTGTGACTGACTACTTATTACTAACTGGTAACGATTAATTAGTAACTGCTACCTGCTAACTGCTAGGTCCACAGCGCATAGCGGCCGTGGTGTTTCAGACACGGGTAAGTGCACGGCGCATTGGGATTTACAATGTATTCGTCATTCGGCTCCCAAGAAAACGCCTCAAAAAAAGAGACAAAAAATCTGCCGTGATTCTGCACCCTTGGCAAGGGCGTATTTGCCAACTAGATTTCTGGTCGCATGTCTGGGGGGGCTCTATTCTGGGCTTTGCTCCAGACACATTGCCCTGAACGCACCGTCTTTTGACTCCTGTAAATCAAGGCCAAGATCTTTGACCAGATCTGCAACATTAAAGTCATTGGACTGGCGAAGAGAAAGCAAGGTTTTTTTGATCTTGGGTTGCTGAATACAAATTTTGTCTTATATTTGCTAAGAAGAACGCACTTATCACCTAAGGCCTCAAGCTTACGGGAAGCCGGAAGGCTGCCACTAAAGGGCCGGCATGCGAAATGTTAATGGAAATGTTATCGATCCACAGATCAGCATGTTCAACCCCAGGGTAAGAGGAAATCTTGGATAGAGGCCGATAAGTGACCGTTAGTGCGTATGGACACCCCTGTAAGATTCCCTTGGAAGGAAAACTGCGCCCCTTCTGCATGAAGACAGCAAGGTCCAGCATAGACCTCTAAAAGCAGGGGAGGAAGGACAAAAGCTTGGCCTGATAAGGCGTTGGAAATCCACACTGCTATTTAAGCCGCTCAAATCCACAAACAAGGTGATAAAAGTTAAAATTGCAAAATCTGTAGTCCTCCGAATAAGGCGGAACAAAGCCGGGTCAAGCGAAGTATGTCCGGTGCCGTCGAATCAAAGAAGGAACCTTCCGAATATACGTTAATCCAGCGCTCCAGAATCGGGCGACGTAAGCAACAGTAAACCTGCCAGAACACCGATGTCAGGAACATAGCGCGCTCTGTTACTCTCAGGCAACAAAGCAACTTGGACTGCAGTCATTTGCAAAGGAAGCAACAGATGGGCCCTCCAGCAATACGGAAGCAAGTGAAGCTGCTCCCTGACCTTGCCCTTTCTGGAGTAAGCCTGCGTTGGCGAAGCATCAGTTGCAACTTCATGTTTCTGCTGATTTAGACCGGCTAGCTGACGGACAGGCCACGGAGCGTGACGCAGTGGCTGGATTAGCCGGTTAGCTTTCGAGGATGATCTGGGTTAGTAAGAGACTGCTTGTTTGCCAATAACAGCAAGTGGAATCCAGTGCGAGATGGAACTAGGTGAGTTTGGACAATCTGAGCCTGTAAACCCTTAAGAGGGCTTCTCTTACAGGATGGACTTGAAGGCTTACAAGCTTTGAACAATCAGGCTGACGCAATCAGCAGACTGAAGACTATTGTTGCAGTCTGGAGCGTGTGAGTGATCTATTGTGGTGAGCCAAGGAGATGCAGACTCCACAAGACTTGAACGTTTTGAGAAGGCTGGCTATCAGATCTGTGGCTTTCAGGTTTTATGATTCTCAAGAAAACTCTTAGCCCTGCAGGCAAGAAGAACAATTCACTTTCCTGACAAGTTAATCAAAATCTCAAACTTTACGGGAAAAATAAGGACAAAATTCATGGGATCTTATGGCAGCCAATCTATCGGCTTCTTCATAAAGGAAACTGCGCCACAGTTGACAGGGAACTCCTGCTTAAACGCCCCTTAATACAATAGCTTCCAACCCATGTGAGGTTCACTCTGGAACGATCATTCCAAATGGGAAAGTATGCTCGAATGGCCTGGACTGTAGCAAAAAGTCTTGGAAGAACCTCTAAGATGGTGCCAACAACAGTCAGGTGGGTTGCACGCAAAGGAACCAAGGTCTTATGAAGGAACTTGGCATGTTGGCCACTCTAAGTGGGGCTCTGTGATGTTACCTGGTTTTTTTTTTGGACTGACGCCTCTTTACTACATCAGTAGCGCAGTAGGCCGGTCTTGTTGGGCTCGACATAACAGGTGAAACGAAGTCAGCGCGCTCAAACCACCAAACACACCACGCAACCACCCAAGAACCAAAGAAACAGAAGAAACAAAGCAAGCAAAGGCGCTGAACTACTAGGTAACCCCACGCACTCAGTACTCGAAGTCGTCGTTGAAGTCCCGGTGCAATCATACAGCACAGAGCATGCGGGGAATCGCAAATTGCGACACTGCCAGATTCTCAAAACCACCATCATGTAGCTACTGGTGCGACATCATTCGAATCGAACCGAGGTCATCACTCGATGGTCAGGATCACGTACCCATCGTCAAGGACAGATAACAGACCCGCAGTGGCAAAGGGATGTTACAGGTCAGACTCCCCAAGGAGAGGAAAGACGTGCGTATGCCCCATGGTGGTCAGCCAGTGGGACTTAACAGCAAGAACTATCAAGGCAAGACCGGCCCAGGGCACTCCATGGTGGTCAGCCAGTGGAGCAGCCCCGAGCGAAAGGTCCTCCGCTCACCCTGGCTTGCAGCTGCGCCCACCTGGATAGATGTCCGCGCACAAGCAAAGTCTCATCAGACGGCCAGAGGGGAGGCCAAGCCTTCACTGCGTGAGTAGCTACAGCTACCGATTCCACCGTGAGCGTCATCAGCACGTTGCCAAACCCTTAAAACCACAGAGTTTAAAGTGACGACCGAAGACCCCCAGTCAAGACATCGCACACAAGGCCACACAGCTTTTGCGTTGGCCTGCGCATCAGTCTGCATCAGGTCCCTCCAAACCCTAACCCACGAGGTACGTCGGTAAGGAGATGGGAGGGCTCACACATCACGTTTGCGTGCCGAAGCGCAAGGATCTCCATGGTAAAACTGCTTTGATCCAATCAGAGCCATCAGGTTACAGCCAAGCAAGCGGCGAAAACAGCTGTGCCGCCGCAGGCCAAGCACAGACGAGGATGACCCTCTTGAAGGCCAGGTTAGTGCACAGGTGCTCAATGGCTCCCTGCCATGGCAGTGGGTGTATATTCTCCACATAGAAGTGCCCACAGTCTGGAAGAAAGCACCGCAGTATTGGTCTTTCCAGAGTCGGCACTCAGCCGAGATATTACAGAAGGGCGGGTCACACTGCCGTGACAGCACGTGAATCACGTGTCGTCTCGTCCAGCGATGAGCAGCGGGGCCACCAGGGTTGGCGGTTGTTGGGTCTCAAGGCCGAAGGGTTCACGTAAGGCCATAGCACAGAAATGGAGCAACCGACCCGGCTGACGGGGGCAGAGGAGAGGAAGACTGGGCAGTCTTACCTTGGACATAACACGATGAACAATCAAGGCAAGACCAGCCCAGAGTACTCCATGGAGGTCAGCCAGTGGAGCAGCCCCGAGCGAGAGGCTCTCCGCTCCATTAGGCTCACCGCAGCGCCCACCCAGAAGGGTGTCCCCGTCCCGACAAGTTGCATCAACCAGCCAGAAGGGAGGTCAATGCGCATCAGTAGCGACCGATTCCACTGGGGGAAACACCAGTCCTTGCACATAGCGGAGCAGTGGACCTCAGGGTTTGCCAATGTTGCACGAATCCTTCCTTCCGCAAGGCAAGAGGAGACGGCAGGGTCAACAACAAGGGCCGAGGGCTCAAGCGCCTTGAAGTTGTACACCTCACCACATTCGCCGAGGCAGGTTGGGGTGCCATGGAAACTTCCTATTACAAGCGTCCGTGCGCCCCATGGTGGTCAGCCACTGGGGACTTACAAGTGAGCACTGCAGACCAGCCCAGGGCTCCCCATGGTGGTCAGCCAGTGGGGCAGCCGCAAGCCGCAGCCAAGAGCAGCAGGCTCCCTGGAGGCTCCCAGGACGGAAGCCATTGAGTAGCGACAGCTACCGATTCAGATAATACAGTCCAGTGGTCCCACCCATGCAATCAGGTGGGTGTGAGGGATCACGGCCAAGGGCCTTCCCAGTCAGGGCGTCGTGGGCGGTAGCCTGCAGAGACAGTATGGGCCCGTCTTCCTGACTTTTTGGCAACCGGCTTAGTACCTTCAGCCGCTTTCAAATCCTCGTCACTGGCGGCATCACGAGGCCTGACGCATACTTGTGGCAACTCCTCCTCGCTAACCCCCCACTCAGGGATGCCAGTTGGGATGGAGCCCCCTATGTGCCGTTTCATTGAGGCTTGGGCTGCATGCCACATCGTCCGGATGGCGTCCTGTATTTGCCGATATTGCACAACACCTTCGTCCCGATACTGAAAGGGGAAGGTGGTAAGCGCGGCAGCGAGGGCCGAGGGCTCGGGCTCCTTGGGAGTGCCATGGCAGTACAGCTTGAACCAGAAGCTGTTGAGTTGCTGCTTAGTTGGATGCTTGGATCTTGCGAGCCCCTTGAGGGCAGCCCAATGAGCAGTGGCAGCATCATACCACGCATTCCGGGAACGTTGGGGTCCATGCTTAGTAGGTGTTGTGCTGAGCCCTTTCCAATGCT